AGCTTTATATCTTGTTTATTTAGCTCAGTATAAAATTTTAAAAAGTGTCTACAATAATATGGTACCCTCCTGTATTTAGGTAGTTGACCCACATTAACCTAATTTAGGTCAATGGACTTCAAAATTCTAATTTGGCCAAAATTTTTTTTCAATTTTTTGAATCTAAGAAAAATTTTGGCCTAATTTATGGTAAAATTGGATTTTTTGATTGCATGCAATGAGCGTCTGTGATTTTGTTAGTAGAATTTTTGCGTGATTTCATTCTAACTGCGATATAAGTTACGTCTTAGCATTTTTGGTGGTATCCTGGATTTCAGAGTGTCATCTAGTGATACAGGCTGGCCTCAGCCAACGGCTGGGTTTCCATCAGCATGCATCTTCGTGGCTGGGCCGGTCAATAAAAGATAGGTTAGAATCGATTTTCTTCTAAGGCTAAGAAATTGAATGTAAATAATTTTCAATTGGCTAATTTAAATAATTGGCAAATAACGAACACAGTATATGGAAATGTTCGGGTACGTTGAGTGCATAGGTAATTAATCAATATCAAAGCTAACGTGCTAGAATTGAACCGGCAATTATTTCGAATAATAATTTATTATTCGGAATAATTGCCGGCTCGAGGTTTTTCCTTGCCGGCACTCATTTCTAATCAGAAAAATTAGCAATGTTAACAGTCCGGTTTGATTCAGTCTGGTCAATTTTGGTCCAAGTCTAGTCTGGTCTATTATGGTCTTCGGTCTTAAAACTTTGCTAGTCTAGACCGGTCCAGACCGGTCCAGTCTTAAGACTTAGAGCAGACCAATTTTTTTTAGCTCAGACCTGTCTTAAGACTAACTGTGGTCTATTAGTCTAAGACCGGATCACATAACATCCCTAAGAAAAATTGTACTATCAAAAAAGATCAGCCAGTCCGAGCTTTTTTAGGATCGACCCGGCCAATGATTTCTTCATCGGTCCGTATCCGGTGTTACCCCTGTTGATCTGGCCCCTGCAGCAGGGTTGGCACATTTTGTCCATTGGTATAAATGGACCCAAGTCCATTTGCCAGTTCTATTGGTTCCATTGGACGGTCACTATTCCAATGGACCAATAGACAAGTAGGTAAAACAATTATATCTTTTATAAATGAGTTTAAAACACTATACCACGTGATATTTGAGATTTTTTTTGGTGTTGACCTTATTCTGATTTACACTAATGGACTAATGGACCAATTGATTATGATATTGGTCCATTGAGATCTATTGACAAATTTATTTTCAATGGACATAGTCCATTGCTAACCCTGCCAGCAGGCAGTGATGTACATTGGACGCTTGGACATCTTTGGATTGGACGTTAATCCAAATGTCCAATCGTGATTCTTGGACACAAAAGTTTTGGACCCTGTTATAATCCATAAATTTTAGATTGGTTAAAATTAAATACGACAGTACTAGCTATTAGTCTATTAAAGGTAACACAAATATTGTCCAAACACATGTGACCCTGGTCATGTGACGTCCAATGTCCAATTGGACGTTAGACATATAATAAAGTCCAAATCTAAACATCCAAAGTCCAACTTTTGCTATTGGACCATCGGATTTGACATCACTACCTGCAGGGACAAGTAAAAATTATTTCGATTTAAAGCAAAAATTTCGATTGATTATTTATGCAAAATATTATTACTGTATTATCATGTGATCTTCGGTACATTTTTTTTTGCCCATTTTGCTATTTTTATGATTTTGCTAAAAATTTTGATTAAATTTGGCAAAATTTCGAGAAATTTTGATCAAATTTGGCAAATTTCAAAAAATTTCGATTTGTCCAGATTTCTTTCAAAAAATTCCTTTCGAAAAATTTACGTGTCTTTGGCCCCTGTTTATTATTGTTATGTCACGGGTAATGGATCACGGGCTGCGCCAAATCTGCCAGATCTGACAGATGTGACAGATGTGTTGGAACTGAGAGAAGCGGCATAAGTGGGATTTATGGCATAACTAACATAAAAGGCATAAATGCCATATACTTTTATTAGTGTATATATATGGGCGATGTTCGCTTCACTTTGCAATAGCATTTTCTTTATTATGTATAATATAAATAAAAGATACACCCTATTCGATTCTATAAAATACGTCACGTACTCCTTCGTACTGTACTGCCAAATCACTATAAATAAAACCCTCTCACTAGTCTATATACTAACAACTATAACATACAGTACCGTAGCACAGTTCCGTATTTCCGTGTCATGTGACACACAGTTATCAGTTGCTCGTTTCCGAGAGGTACCCAAGGTTAACACCGGATAATTCCGTACGTAGAGTCACTATACCTTTTTTGTCTTCACCGCTCTTAAATTGATTGCTAAAGGTAACAAGAGTATAACAGGAGAAACCATACATTGCTACAGTACAAGGTTTATCAAAATTTTAACTACCAGAAAAGTTCGCGTAAGGATTCGCATAAAACCTATAATATTTTATATATCAATTAAAAACGGATCTAAATCAATATACTAATTTCAGATAGATTTTCTTTGTTAGCAATGTATGACCAGTCTAACGGTTAAAAGCTACCCGAAAAATAATAAATCAAAACTATATTAGGTATTGTATAAAATCTAGTAGTGCAGATTTTTGCATAGATCGGCAAAATCGGTAAATTTACAGTGGTGTCTAGTATTCTAAAAATTGATTCGTCTCACCTACGTACGTACCAAATATTTTTCTCGGCAATTTATACAAGTTTAATAAGTTAAAAAAAATTCTTAGCTTGAATATATATTATAGGAAGTTCCTAATATTTAATATTTAACAATTAATCAGTTAAAAATTTTAAACTGTAATTTCTTTTTGCTATATTAATCAATCGATTGATGCAAAGACTCTTGAAAAAATGGGTTGTGAGATGAATCAATTTTTGGATACGTACTACTAGTCTATTTAACGATTTTTTTGCCGATCTATGCACAGATCTGCACCATTGGTCATGTGTTCAAATGGATTTTTGTACGTGAAACATTGGAGTGTCAGATATATAATACTAATTAATCAAAACTGACAGGTATTTTAGTAATCCATACCATCCAATAGTATGAAAGATTTTGCACACAGAAACTTTCCTAAACCATGTACTACGTTCGGGTATACAGAGGTGTAACCAATTCGGCGAATTTTATGGAATTTGATTCGTAAATTTACAAGATTCAAATTTAAGAATCTATCATCTAATCTAAAATAATAGTATGCATCTAAAATTAGTAACACCAAAATATAAATGGGTTCCTCTTGGTATTCTTGGTATAGCGATAGATTCTGATACTAATACTTTAGTATTACGTACGTAACTGGTTCATAAGATTAAATATTGTAAATTTAGGGATTTAATTAATGTCAAATTCCACAAACCCACTGAATTGTAATATTTTATAGTAAAATAAGTATTTGGGGGCAGTAATAAATTTATTTATAAAGAGGTTTTCTAATAATAACATGAAAAAACTAAACTATATACTTGAAAAATCAATGATTGAAATCAGGTAACTGTTATCACTGCAATGTTGGATACCTTTATAATTTGAATAATATGAATTGAAATTAAGCTTAACCAAACCTTTTATGTGAAGCATAATTGGTCCAATTGCCCAATTTATAATATGAATACATAATTATATATATGTATATATAGTTAATTAAACAATAATAATGTTGGGACCAAATCTCTTACCGTAAATGCAGAAGTCAAACATGATCTAATGCGCATCTTATTACGTACAAGCATAGTGCGGTGTATAGTGAAAATCATTATTAATCAATTTTTTTTTATAATTAGCGGTGGCGTAGTGGTAGCGTAAATAGTAAAAACAAAATTTATTTGCAATAACTCTTGAACAAATAAACCCGCACAAATAAAATTATATTTGTCAGATTCATTTTAGTGTACTTTTTAAAGTAACAACGCCTTTTTAAAATTTATTTTTATTGTTTGAAACATAGCGGAGGAACCAATTTTCATGCAAAATGGTCGTTTTTGATCATTCTTTAATGAAAACATTAAAAACGTAACTTTGAATCTTTGGTCATAATACAAAAAAATTTAAAGTTACGTTTTGATGTTTTTATTAAAAAATATCAAAAACGAAAAAAGACAATTTTTGCATGTCTTCCGCTATGCTTCAAATAATAAAAATAAATAAAATAAAATAAAAACGACGTTGCCTAAAGAGTACACTAAAATGAACCCGACAAATATAATTTTATTTGTGTGGTTTGCTTGTTCAAAAGTTATTGTAATCTATATAAATTTTATGTTTATAAAAAAAAATTGATTATCACTATATCTGATATGACCAGCACTATGTTTATGCATTATACACTCCATTAGCATATGCACAACTACTGAATTAACCACGTTTATTTAGCGTTTTCATACTTCAGTACTTGTTATGTTAATTCACAAAATTTATAGTAGCTTTTTTTTTATTAAGAAACATATATGCCAATTTCGAGTCAGGTTTGCTTCTTTTGTAAAAGAAGATCGATTTTATTTACAGTAATTAATATGTAAATCCATTATTATCTTTATTCAGCTTAGGAAAGCCGAGATATGAAATTATGCATGTATGCAATTAAGGAAAGGCTCATTGTTTAAATTTATTTAAATATGACAACTTTGTGCAACTTTATTATGTATTAAATATAAAAACTATTGTTTATGTATGCTAGTCTCGCGTCCTTATTGTTTCAAATCGTGAATATTAGATATGATATTTAAAAAAAATTAACACTTCATTTCTTTGACTTTTCTTATTCAGTATAATTGTTTCAATCCTTTAAAACTTGCTATTCGCCCGGTTGCGAATAGAAAATTGAGCTACACACACTACTAAATAAATTTATCAATTTAATTGTCAATAATACTAAATCTAAATCCTTCCTTACTGACAATATTTTAATACAGACAAAGTTATTAATAATTATCACTTTTTCAACTATTTCATTAAAATGAAATTTATTACCTTCCTGTTTGCCGCAGGATTCTTAATCTCTGTAATTCAAGCAAGCATAGAGACAACAAAACCTTTTCAAAGTATCACTTGGGAGGGAGGTAAAAGTGAAATAATCCAATGGAGAGAAAATAAAGAAGTGCCTTTGCTGAAGAATTTAAAGAATGTAACCATTCACTTAATGGCTGGTATATATTGATTTAAATTTATGACGTTTATTATTATTATCATAATATATGTGCTATATTTAATTATTTAATAATGATACAGGTGGAGAAAATAATCAAGTGGAAGTTATAATTATTGCCCAAAATGTCAAAGGAACAGCACTCGTACATACATTTAATGTACCAACGAATCTAGGACCCTCTGGATCTTTTTAGTATGTCTTACTTTTTATACTATTCCATCTCTTCATGCAATTGCTAACGTTTAATATTTTTTCAACGTTTAATAATTTTTTTTTTTTATGAATTGATTTTTCATAGCTTTCTTAAATATACAAGTCCATTAAATGCTACATATGCTGATTTCTCGGGTTTTGTCACGATCAATGGAATTAACGGTACTATTAAAGGCTTCGATCCACAAAATCCACAAGCAACAGGTTCACCGACCACAACAGATTCCACAGCAGTTCCAACACAAACACCTGATAACGCAAATAATGGTGCAATAAATAATGCAACGGATGGTACAGTAAATAATGCACCAAGTAGTTCGAATAGTGGTGCACCAAGTAGTTCTAAAAGCTCTTCTGCAAGTTCTTTTAATTCACCCACTCCAATAAGCAGTGAGTCAAATAGGCGGTTCCAAATTTCGAAGTTTGTAGGACCTTTGTTCGGTGTTATTACTTTTGTTATTACTTTATTGTAATCAGATAATTTAATGAATTTTTAAACACTTAAAGATGTGCAAATTAACTACAGTCAAAGCTCGAGATAACAGGTTTTTACACCACGAATATTTTGATATAACGAAAAAGTTTTTTTTTTTTGCATTGTAAATGTGTATGAACATATAATTTATCTTCTCATATATTTTTATATATTGGACGAGGTTTAATCCATCGAGCTTTGACTGTATAATCAATTTAAGCCAATTTTCATATGATTGGGCTATGATAAAGGTTTCTTAATGTAGACATAAAACAAGGAATAATTTGTTGTGAATAAATTTGAAAATTACCTTCCATCATAGAAATTGTAATAAAATAGAACTCGAATATTTAAATAGATTTATACTAATTCTTCTCTTTTCAAGTGCTCTATTAACATATATATTGTATATGTCGTAAGTGGGAACAGAATTCAAGTCGATTCGGAATTTCCAAGGTTAAGGTTGGGATTTTTGGTATAATTATTTCGTTAATCTAAGTGGATTCCGAACCTATTATGATTCCATTCCCACTTACAACATATAACTTTTAAAGTTCATTTTGGAGAATATTTTAATATGGATTTTATGATAAAACTTTTTTAAATTTTGGAATTTTACGAAAAAAGAGGATATCTTATACTGTCCGGTACTGTAAGAGATCCTTTGGATTTGTCCACTCTAACTTGAAGTAAACAAACCCTAAAAGATCTGATCAAACTCATAGCTCAAAAAGTTTATTCGCTAAGCTCACATTTAGAACAATATCCCTTTTTTTTATCATACAAAAATCTTTGGTGTGAAAAATCTTCCCGTACCTCCTTAACTTGTAATTAAAAAGTTAAAAAATGTTTAGAGATATTTAGAAGGTTGATATTGCATCAATGAATTTTGAAGAATAGTTGTATAAGTCTTATTAATCTTAGTTATATTACGTACCAATTTAATATCTCAATCCTGCTTACCGTAAATTCTCGAAATAATGCTCAAGAGTGTAATTTCGAAATTTGGCTAAACTTAATTCGAGCCATATCTTAAAATAATGTCCATGCCCGCTATCTTGAGAATTTACGTTATACTGTTTTTAGAAATTTATGAAATATACAATACAATAAAGATAAAACAATTAAATACTCTAGTTTCGAATTATTCCCGATTATTTGCTTTCTTTAAATTATTAATTTTGTATTGAATTATTAATAAACAATTAAAAGAATTTCATTTATTTACAGTAAACTTTTAATGTTTCTGTAATAATAACACTCTGAAATTCTGACGCAAATGGAAAAGTATTGATCGATTACTGTAAAATGCAATGCAAAATACCCTCCTTGATTGTACTAGGTATGTTTCAAAGTGTTGATTTGCATCATTTGCATCAGAATTACAGTAAATTCTTTACACAAGATCCCAATATAATACCCACTGCCCATAGACGCTGAAATGCCCCGGGGTATGAATCAAAAGTTGGAATGTAAATAGCACAATATTTTGCATTGCGTTTTACGATACTACTAGAGGTGCAGAAAATTGGTGCCATATGGTTACGTCAAAAGTGTCGTAACAGTGTATGTCGTAATAGAAGACATATGTCGAAATCAAGTCTCTGTTCATAACTTTGATATTAGATGTGATGCAGGATGTGATATATAATTTTTTCTGATAAAGGTAATTCTAAACCAGGGCTTAAACGACTATATTGAAATGCCGGACATTCAAAAGTGTCATTCTTGATCTACAGTATATTAGAAATTAATTTACTGGTATAGTGAACAATAAGATGCACAATAACTAATTTGATGAATCAAAAAAAATACTTTAAGCAATAGCAATGGCGCAGTAAATGTCCGGCAAATTAATATAGTCGTTTAAGCCCTGTTCTAAACCATGTGCCAATGTTACTTCACCGTTAGAGCCTTGCGCCGATATTACTTCTCAGAATCTGAAACTAGCAATAGTAAATTTGCAGGACCCATTTTTCAAGATAGAGAAATCGCACAAATTGAGTTTTCTACCGACATTGCAGATACGACCGATAGTATTGAAGATATGGACTTTAATCCTGAAAATCTTGTCGATACTGTTTTAAGTGCTGAATTTGAAATTAAATAATTATTGTAGTAAACGCAGCTTATATGTAAATTCTATAGCTTTAAGAATTTAATAAAAAATGCGTCTAATAATATCCTTATTTTACAACGTATGATCCATTAATAGTGATAGCGCAAAAATTTGGCGGTCCTGTGACTAATTAAACAATGATGATATCTTAATTTTTATCTAAAATTAATGTTTGCATTAATACAAAGTGGAAAGAATATCTAAATTTTTGTGCCGAAAACTTTTATTAATAACAAGGCTAATTGTCGTGGTCGACTTTGGTGTCCCGGGTAATCGTAGCGCAAGAGTTAGGGATCATGATCAGGATTTGCATGAATGAGTTGCATGGAAGTTATTGCGGTTTGCAAAAAAATGTGAAATTTGCAGATCAAAATCGATGATTTCTGATTTCTTATTGCCGATTTCTTTAACATTACTTCTGATGACGTATGTATATCAACTAATATTATACTATATAAAGTCTTATATATATTTATTTAGCATACATTTTTTTAAAAAAAATTCATTTCTAATGACTAAAATTATTATCCC